GTGTCCGCTCCGTCCACGGTCTGCCTCCGTTCCCCCCTGTGCGGCACCTGGGGACTTGCCAGGACTCTCGAACCAGCCCCTCCCCTCTCTGAAGTCAGATGGGGCAGGTTTGAGAACATCTGGTCTTGAAAACTGATTCCAAATGTAAAACTTTCCCATTTTACATGTTTTTGTTTTATTGGGTTTTTAAAAAAAATCACTAAAATAGAAATGAACATCGTAGACAGTGGAGCTACACAGAATATAAAAAGAAAAGAAAAAATAACATTTCCCTTCCTCCCCCGCCTCGCTTCTGGGGCTCCCTCCCGCACCTGCTTTTCCAAGCCGGCTGAAGTTGTGTGGCCCCGGGCACGAACGGCACCTGTCCTGGCCGAGTCGACCCGTGTCTCGGGGGCCCGCCCGTTCCAGAAGGTCCGAAGGGTTTTGAAGGCGGGGCCGTTGCCACTCGTCATCTCGGGTCTGCACGACTTAGTGCTCCAAGAGGGTGGACTTTCCGGTCATTTGCCAGGACTCACCTGAGACACACCTGGCCCTGCACTGGTGCCGGGAACAGGAAGAGGAGTCAGGGCCAGTCCCCTCGAGTGCGGTCCAGGGGCGGAGGCAGACCCGGGACCTTTGTGAGAGGGCTCACAAGGCACCTGTGGGCGGCCACGGGGAGGAGCCACGCTGTGCCAAGGCCTGTTCCAGGGAGAGGAGGGAAGGTGAGGGTCCAAGCTGTGCAGTGTCCCGGAGGGGAGACAAGGCAGCTACTGGTCTGTATGGGGACGTGAGGGCAGGGATCCAGGAACGCTTTTATTATTTATTATTTTTATCTTTTAAAATATGTTTTTATTGATTTGAGAGAGAGGAAGGGAGAGGGAGAGAGAGAGATAGAAACATTAATGATGAGAGAGAGCCATGGATCGGCTGCCTCCCGCACGCTCCCTGCTGGGGATCGAGCCAGCAACCCGGGCATGTGCCCTGACCGGGAATCGAACTGGTGACCTCTTGGTTCCTGGGTCGACGCTCAACCACTGAGCCACGCCGTCCAGGCAAGGAACACTTTTAGTAGAGGGACATTTTGACCTGCATTCTGCAGGCTGAATAGAGGAGTTCTCCAGCTGAGAAGAGGGAAAGGGACTTTTACATGGAAGAAGCGGCGTGTGGAAGGCCCAGAGGCGTGCTGACTGTGGGCCATGGGGAGATCTTTCCCGGGGTGAGAAGAAGGTACAGGGTCTGTGTCAGGGATTAAAAACAAGAGAGGCAGCACCTCAGCAGCAGCGGGCCTGGGCTCCTCCAGGGCTTTGCGTTGGCCTATGAGACCTGGGAGTCTTGGTGTGGACGTCCCAAGGTGGGAGGCACTGACACAGGCAGGGTTCAGGGGGCCTGGGGTTATGGGCTGCTTGTGGTCAGGGCTGCACTGAGCACTGGCCAGTGAGGCGGTGATTTCAGGAGCTGGGATAGGGCTCTGTCCCTTCTCTTCCTTTGCCCCCAGAGTCACAAGCAGTCCTCCATCCTGGAGAGGGTGCCCAGATACATTATACTAGAGTGTAAAAGACTGACTGCAGAACCTTCCCCAGCAGGACCATGGACAGGGCCGAGGGGACGTGGGTGCGGTGGAGTCAGAAGCTCTGGGTGCCAGCCTTCGCTGCACCACTGCCCAGTGCGTGGTTTAACTTCTAAATTGCTGTGTAGAACGACAGTCGTACTCTCAGCCCTGCTCAGTGTCCAGCGTTGCCATGAGGTTTGGGGAGGCGGCCGGTGAAAGCATCTGGGGCTCTTGAGCCAGGGTGGCTGCCTCTTGCCTGCCCTGTTCCCACGGCAGACAAGGCCGATTCATCGCCGCTTTCCTTCCCCAACGAGCCTAGATTCACGCCCAGAATCCTTTGCAACACAGCTCGCCAGGCACCCCATCAAGTCGCCACGTGAGTTGAATCCTGTTTCCTGCCCCGCTGAGCCCGGCGTTCATCCTGTGGTCTTGGGCTCCTGTGTGAATAATATTCTATTGTGTGGGTGGACCACGTTTTGTTGATCCATCCATTCATCTCTTTTCCAGGTGATTCTTATTTTTAAAAAATTTTATTTATTTATTAAATATTGATTTTAGAGAGAGGAAGAGAGAGGAATAGATTTCTGAAACAAACATCGATCGGCTGCTTCCTGCACACTCCCTACTGGGGGGTGGAGCCCGAAACTCGGGCATGTGCCCTGCCCGGGATCTCTTGGTTCATGGGTCAATTTGTAACCACTGAGCCACGCCGGCCGGGCCTGCTGGGCTCCAGGTGATTCTTAATGTGTGACCGAGATCGAGAACCGTTGGCCTAACCTCTTGTAGCCTCCCCTTCACCTTGGAATAATAACATCTACGTTGCAAGGGTGGTGTGGGCTTTAAGTGGGACACCGTCTGTGAAGTACTTGGGGGAAATCACACCCCAGTGAGGTACGTGGTGCCTGGGCTCTTTGGGGGAGCTCTCCAGGAAGCCACGAAAAGAATGTCCATCCTGCCTGGCTGGCGTGGCTCAGTGGTTGAGCATCGACCTAGGATCCAGGCGATCGGGGTTCGATTCCGGGTCAGGGCACATGCCTGGGTTGCCAGCTCCATCCCCAGCAGGGGACGTGCAGGAGGCAGCCGATCAATGACTCATCATTGGTGTTTCTACCTCTCTCTCCCTCTCCCTTCCTTTCTCTGAAATCAATAAAAAAAAAAAAATATATATATATATATATATATATTTAAATGTTCATCCTTTGAGCACGGCTGTGTGTCAGGCACCCCTGTGCAGGCTTTTGAGTAATATTATTCATGGTACCTGCGGGCGAGGGAACATTCTCTCTCTTCACACAGCAGGAAGCTGCAGCCCAGAGACTTACAGTGATTTCCTGTAGGGTGCACAGCAGCTCGGTGACTGTGCAGCGGTTTCCCTCCCGGCTGTGCCTTGCTCCAGAGCCCCTGCCTCTCCAGTTCAGGGCGAGAGTTCACCTTCTCTCCTAGTCCCCCTGCCAGCACCTGGCTCCGGATCCCGGCTAAGCTTGGGACCCCTCCATGTGGAGTTACCCTCCCCCCCATCAGATGCTGCGGCCACGTGGTCATCTAATAAGCAGAGGTTGGCTGGAAATGTCAGCTCCGTTAGGAGAAATTTCCCACGGTCTCGAAGGCTCCCAGCTCTGCCGTAGAGCATTCTGCACTTTATCTATGCATTTCAGCTGTTAAAAGGACGGCCTTGTCCCTGTGCCGCGGGCAGATAAACAGGCCGTTACGCGTGTGCACAAGGGCACGTTCTCACAGTGAGGAGGGACCCCCGACACCCCGGGAACCTCCCACGCAGGGAGGCGGACGCAGAAGGGCCGGGAACGATTGCCAGGGCTGGTGACGTTGCGTTTGGGAGGGTCCCTTTTGTTACCCCAGAAAACGACTTGGTCTTCGGCACGTTTTGAATAGAAAAGCAAGAAAATCCCGTGTGGCATTCGAAGCGGTTTCCTTTCTCCTAAGAATGCACTTGGACTTCATACAATAAATCCTCTGTAGATGTTAAAGACAAAGGCTTAGGGCTACTGTACGGCTCCGTTTACTGTGGGACCTTCACGGAAGAGCAAAGCTGTGGGGACAGAGAACAGAGCTGGGGCT